TGTTGATAGTGTTTAATAGAAAATAGTGTCACTAGCGCCCCCTTCATTTCCGGAATGCAATAGTCCCATTTCCATATAAGGTATGGGACCGACGGAAAGGTCTGTCACCGCCCCGAGCTGCATGCTGCAGCGAAGTGTACTTGAAAGCAGCGCTCTCCAACCGAATTTAAACACACGAAGAAGAAGAACCGGAAGCTGAATAAAGCGACTAGCTTGACTCCATTTTCTAGCTAGCGTTGAGGGGTTGTTTGTTTACGTTTTCCCCTTTACGAACAAATTTATTTATTTTTGTTTCTTGTTATTCTTAAAAGACAAATTATTTGTCAAGATGGGAGGCGGAGATCTGGTGAGTTCGCTTTAAAGTCCTTCGAGAAAAGCTGTTCGTATACCGGAGGTCGAAGCTAAAGCTAAACTCTATTAGGATTGTGTTACATTTAACATTTTTTTATTTCACTAGTGATCTTCATAGATTAAACAGTGTAGATGAGTAATTAGAACTTGTTATGCTTAATATTTCCATTCGGCTACATTAAATTTCACTTTGTTATTTTTAAAAAATATTTTAATCGTATTAAATGTTAGAATATAGCATTTTAGCATCTAACTTCCTAATTTTATAGCAGCAGTTAGGCTATATAAATATTTACTTTAATTTTCAGAATAAAACTGTAGAAATATGATCGGATGAGGATGATGATAAAGTTGTTATTAGACTTGTTAATTTGTTTCATTGTTTCTACAGGTGAAACAGCAGCTAATGTTTTACTTTTTCTGCTTCCAGAACTTAAAAAAGAGCTGGCACCCCCAGACTATGAAAAACATCGAGCGAGTCTGGAAAGCTGAGCAGAAACATGAAGCTGAACGTAAGAAGATCGAGGAGCTCCAGAAGGAGCTGAAAAACGAACGAGCTCGAGAAGAAATGACCAGATACGCAGAGGAAACTGGTGCCATCAAGTCAGTTAGCCCAAACATTTTCAGGAAGGCTGTTCTGTAGGTTTTAACGAAACWACTTGAGCTGAGCTGTTTGTGTTTGCTCACAGGAAGAGAGATGACCGCCTGGACTGGATGTACCAGGGTCCCGCTGGTCAGGTGTCCAGAGACGAGTATCTGCTGGGGCGCCCCATCGACAAGCAGATCACAGATCAGTACGAGGAGCCGGAGAGCGGTCCATCAGCCGAGACGGGCCTCCTGCCTGGCTCCATTTTCAACCCCGTCACCCCTGCTTCAGGCCTGGATCTGGCTGCTAAGATCAGGGAGGACCCTTTGTTCCAGATCCGGTTGGTTGGCACACTTTGTCCTAAAACGTTTGGGAATAAAAGCACATTTACTTATAACTTCACGTTTTTTGTCCTGAAGGAAACGTGAGGAAGAAAAAAAGAGAGAGTTTCTAACTAATCCAGTAAAGATGAAGAAAATTAAGGAAATGGTACCAATCTTTTCATTTTGCTTTCTCTATGCTGAAAATGTAGTTAAAATTGGRTTATTACTAATAGATTTTTTAATTTGCCCAACAGCTGCAACAGAATCTTGAAAAGAAAGACAAGAAAAAGAAGAGGAAGAAGGAAAGAAAGGAGAAGAAAGAGGGCAAGGAAAGGAGAAGGGAAACGAAGCACAGGAGGAGGAGTTTAAGCTCAGACGATGAGGAGGACAAACGCAGGTTGGGATGAGTTTAAAGCCACTCTGTTTTTATTTTTTACTGAGAATATTTAATTAAATCGTCTGTTTTCAGGTGGAACTCAAGAGATGAATCTACAGACGTTAAATCTTCACATCATGTTCCAGGATACGGCCTCCAGGTCAGAGAACAGCTTTGTTTCTTATAGTTTTCAGAATATTTCAGGGTATCTGATGCTTTGATGTAAGACTTTTAATGTTTATATAAAAATCATTTTGTACCAGGGTTTTTATTTACTGAATCTAAAAAGGTAAATCGTGATCCCGCAGCTTCCTGGAGGCCGACATCATCAGGACTCGGCTACGTCGAGTCGCTCTGGGCGCAGAGAGAGGAGCCGGTCGCGCTCTCCTCACCCGAACCACAAGGACAACCGACACTCCTCCTCATCCTCACACAGAGCCGAGAGGAAGGTGGAGCCCAGAGCGCCAAGCCCGCAGCGTTACCAGCGTCAGAGGAACCACGTGTCAAAGTAAGAGCTCGTACACGTGAGGTGAGGTCGTGCTGTCATATCTGTCGACACAGCAAGTTGTTTACGTTCCTGTTCTGTCGTCTGCAGGAAGCTTTCTGCCGAGGAGCTGGAGAGGAAGAGGCGTGAGATGATGAGCCAGGCCAAGCAGAGGGAGGAGGACCGGGAGAACAACGTGAAGCGGTACAAGAGGCAGGACGAGCAGGAGAAGCAGCGAGAACAAAACGTCAAACAGGAGCGACACGCCGGATTCATCCACGACATGAAGCTGGAGAGCGCTGCCAGCTCCTCTTTAGAGGACCGAGTGAAGAGAAACATTCACTCCATCCAGAGAACGCCGGCCTCCCTCGACAACTTCATGAAGAGGAATTAGTTTCTGTTTTCAAACAAACAAATCATCTGGCTTTTATTTTGAAAACATGAGCAGTTTGTTCCCATCTCGGTGAAAAGCATCAATTTGTTGTTTTTTTGTACAGTTTGACATTTTAGATTTTCAAACRATTGTTTTTTGAATATATGGTTGTTATTTTGTGTAAAGAGGTAAATACTGTAAAATAAAAAAAATATTGATTTAAAAAAATTATTTCTTTATTTTATGTTTAAACTGTTGATGCTCTGATGGTCAAATTTTAATAATTCATGTTTTTAAATGTTCTGTTCATTATAAAAACTAATACAGAAGGATAAAATGATTATCCTGCAGAGATGATTTAAACATTGCATGACTTTTTAAAAAAGAGATTTTAATACTTTAAATTATCTCAGATTACACAAAACCAGAAAGGCTGGAAAAAATAAAACCAGCATCTAACAGAGAAAAACTGGGTTTATTTAAAGGAACAATTACCACATGAGTGACTCAATACATCAGTGTCTAAAATAAATTTAAATTATATTGCATCTTCTTTATCAATTACACATTTAAATGAAATTTTTTTAGGGGTTAAAAAACTTCAGCTAGAGGCAGAGAAAATGTTCTGAAAGAAACAGTTTCATTTCAACACACSGCAACCAAACTATGCCGGCAGCATCAGCCAATCACAGGCGGACTAACTTGACCTCAGCCAATCATATTGACCCAACGTCCTGACGTAAGAAAGTTTGCTTGTGTGATCTTTGTGTTTCTAAATCGTGTAGTCACTGTGAGAAGCTAACAGCTAATCATAAACAAAGAAGGAGTTTATATTTTAAAGCTAGGGATAGGTTTACCACCACATCTTCAAAATGGTAAGAAATTAAATGATAACAAATATATGAAGTGATTTTTAAAAGTATGTCAATTTAATTATTGACTAAGCTAGCGTTAGCATACATGCTAAGTCTGCTAACGTTCACGTCAGAAATTAATATCTCGAAACCCATAATTACTATTTAATTGTTTAATGCTCACTGTCATGCTTTATAATGTTTAAGGTTTATTAAATATTTTCTGATAACAGGTGGACGTTATTAGTCAGTAAAACGATTTAGATGCTAAATTAAAAACTTGCTAATTTCCTGGATTTAATTAAGACAATTGCTTTAAACACAACTTTCCTTAATGATCTAACTTTATTTATCAGATATTAAATGTTCTACATTAAATTTGTTTGATGTGTAAATTAAAATCGGTGCTTTTGTTAAATAAACCAGCTGAATGTTTGACAAAATGTATAAAAATGTTAGTATTTCAGTATTTCTTTAGCAGAAAACAGATCAGTGAACACTAATTCAGCCCTTTTAAAAATGTTAAAAATAATGTTTTAAAGCAAATCTTTTCAACAAAACGAATTAGCAGCTGAAGTTTAAGAAAGTTAGTCTGCTTTGAGACAATTTAAAGAAAAGTGATGACTTCATTTTTCCTGTCATGAGTTGATTCAATCTTTTGATTTGTTCACTCAGATATTTGATGTTTTTGCACTTTCCAGTCTATTATGTCGTATAACGGCGGTGCCGTCATGGCCATGCGGGGGAAGAACTGCGTGGCGATCGCTGCAGACCGGAGGTTCGGCATTCAGGCCCAGATGGTCACCACAGACTTCCAGAAGATCTTCCCCATGGGAGACAGGCTGTTCATCGGGCTGGCTGGGCTGGCTACTGATGTCCAGACAGTGTGAGTGTTYGACTTGTTCAGACTAACTGCGGGSAGAAGATCGAGCTCATTGGTTTGTGTTTCTGTTCAGATCCCAGAGGCTTAAATTCAGACTGAACCTGTACGAGCTGAAGGAGGGGCGTCAGATCAAACCCAAAACCTTCATGAGCATGGTGTCCAACCTGCTGTACGAGAGGAGGTGAGTTTCAGAGGGGCCTTAAAGACCTCTGACCCTTCATAATCCAAGAAACAACTGACCACGTCAAGCACTGACCAGTTTTCAGAAATAGAGCGAGCGTCGAGGGACTAAACAACAAAGTGCAACACATTAAATATGTGACAGCCTCCCTCGTAATGACTTAGAAAAATGATTAATTGACTCTTTTTTTTAAAACCAAATCCAAGAACTTGGCTGGAGCTGATCAGAGGAGGGACAGCAGGTATGTTAGTTTTGGACATGGATGCAGTCAGAGAGGACAGAGGGAGACGGAGGAGGGCGACTCTCTGAAGAGGGAACAGCTGAAAGAAGAAGTGCCTGATGCTTCACAAATCATGAGTTTAATCAACTCAAAGAAGGATAAATGAAACACAACGTGGTTTTGTTTCCTCAGGTTCGGGCCGTACTACATYGAGCCGGTGATCGCAGGACTGGACCCGAAAACCTTGGAGCCGTTCATCTGCTCCCTGGACCTGATCGGCTGCCCGATGGTGACGGAGGACTTCGTCGTGAGCGGGACCTGTTCGGAGCAGATGTATGGCATGTGCGAGTCTCTGTGGGAGCCCGACATGGTGCGTCTTCACGTCACAAACACCTAACTGAAAACACTCTGACTGCAAATTAACTCGAGAGTCCTTGTTGGTCCTGCAGGAACCAGAGGACCTGTTTGAGACCATCTCACAGGCCATGCTGAACGCCGTGGACCGGGACGCCGTCTCCGGTATGGGCGTGGTCGTTCACGTGATGTAAGTAAAACAACGTAAACAACCTGCTCATACTTTAAACAGATTACTGAGGTGATTAGAGGCATTTTTCTGTCTGTGTTAAAGTGGTTTAAAAGGATTTTTTATTTCTTCCATCAGTGAGAAAGACAAGATCACCACACGGACCCTGAAGGCCCGAATGGACTAAAGCTTGGCCCATTAGAGATGTTTTGTATAAAAATAAATACGATTCCTGTTGCTGTTTGTTTTCTTACTGTTCAACAAAGAAAAATAAGTTCAAACCAGAAACACGTCTCAGTTTGATTTCAAATCTGAGCTCATTAAAGGGATCCATGATTAGTTGTAACATTAGACTTTATATGATAAACATTTATTTTAACTGTAAAATAAAAACTGTAAAAATACTGTAGACTGTTCAGTTTTTATCATTTTAAACTAAAAGTTTAAAAATATATTTTAATGCAGACGGGGCCATTTTATTTGCACACAAAGCATTCTGGGTAAATGATGACGTGGATAGGTCCTCGGTGCGAGGCTGCTAGCGAGCTATATCCACCCTGAAGGTTAATCTTGGACAATATCTGATGATCGACTCTTTTAAATGAAACCAGAGAGCGTTGACAGAGAGGAGAAGGTAGAAATGACTCAGCCTGGAACTGAAAATATRGATGGAGGACAACAGAGCTGCTTCATGGAAGAACAACCTCAGATTAGCCTGTTAGCTTTAGCATTAGCCCCGATGCTATCACCATATATATATATTAGCTCAGTGCTACACATTCTCCTCTCGTCACTGAGGTCCTCCATCCACATGACAGAGAGGGGAACACAAAAATGACTCAAGCTGTAACTGAAAATATGGATGGAGGACCTCAGCTTAGCTTGTTTGTAGCGCTAGTGCTGAACTAATACATATAAGGCAATATAGTGTGGGCGCTGGCGCGAAGGCTAACAGGCTAAGCTGAGGTTCTTTTGCCATCATTTACCCAGAATGCTTTGCGTGTAAATAAAATGGCTCCGTCTGTGTTAAAATATATTTTAAAAATTTTACAAAATTAAACAGTATTTTTAGTCTTTATTTTACAGTTTAAATAAATGTTTATCAAATAAAGTTTAATGTTACAACTAATCAGGGATCWCTTTAAGGGATCTGCCAGTGGAAATAGGACTGACTGGTACTGGATATTTACTGGAGCTTTGGTCAGCTTTATGTTGTTAGTACAGTGGTTCCTGACCCTGGTGTTTGAGGCCCATGGTCCTGCAGGTTTTTAGATGTTTCCCTGTTCTTCAGTTRGTCTTCAGACACCTGTTAATCTCTCCTTCATTCAGTCCAGGTGTGTCAGGACCAGGGTTTGGAAACATTGGTTTAGCAGAACCATCTCAAGCTTTTATCTAAATAAAATTTAATTAATAAAAATGTTCCTGTTCAAAATGTAATGACTGGTCGGTCATTTTACACACAGCAGTTGTTTCCAAACATAACTTTAAAATATCATTTTAAACACCTGCCAYTGAGAGAATAACCTACTGGTGTAGAAAGAGAGCTAAATAATTTAACTATGACAAACTTTTAAGCTCACCTGAGGCTGCAGGTAGGTGGAAACTGCAGCTTGAAGCCAGTTTCTTAAATGTGTCCAAAAAGTCCAGGATAGTTGAAATATCTTTAATTATCTCTTTACTTATTATTCCACTGRAGGTGCAGCTAGCTAACAGGTACCACCTGACATGTTGAGTTTAACTCYGCTTCGGGTGGGCGGAGTTTAAACAATCAATGGGTTGATCTAACAGGAAACTCCTCCTTCGTGGCTCAGCCGGATCACACACCGGTTGACTGATGAGGAGCAGACCCAGGCCCTGTGGTTTGAATGTATTCTCCTGATTTTAACTTTTTACGTTCAAATTTTACCTTCTGCTACTATTAGATTTCTTTTGCTGCTTTTAGCATCCTTTTGCTAATATTAGCTTGCCTTTAGCTACTTTTAGCATTCTTTTTTTCTACTTTACCCAGTATTGGCTTGCCTTTTGTTACTATTAGCATTTATTTAGCTACTTTTAGCTTACTCTTGCTATTATCTTTTCTTTCATTACTCTTTGCCTACATTTTTGCTATTAGCTTGTTATTTCCTACTATTTACTGTTCTTTTCCTACTTACAGCTTATCTTTTACTGTTAACTTTTTTACCGTTAGCCTACCTTGTGCCATTAGCTTTTTTTTTTGCTACTTTTACTGTACTTTTGGTTTGTTTTGTACAATTAGCATTTCTTTCATTATGTTTAATGTACATTTGCTACCTATTAGCTAGCCTTTAGCTAACATTCAGCCTTACCCCAGTTCAGCCTTTAGCTTGTGTTCTTTTAGCTTTAGCAGCTTGGTTTGATCTTTCAGCTGATTTCAGCTGAGGCTGCCTTCGGTTTATAAAAGATTCAAACAGAACTGTAATTCAGCTTCCTGTTGGATTCATTAGTTTTAATGAATCTCAAACTGAACTTTTCCTTCATTAAAGAAACTCAGAATAAAAACAAGCYGACCAGAGGAGTAAAGACAACAAAAACGAGATAAAACTCCCTTTTATTTTGCAATGAATCATTTTCAAGTAACCTTTTTTTTCCTAATGTCTGTTGGTAACAAAACAATACTGTATACAAACACAAAATTGCTACATTAATGTAAACAAGATATAAAAATGATCCTTATGGTAATAAAACAGGTATTTGCTGCAGAATTCCCCTCTGTTTTTTAAACATTAAATCTTTTTCCTCCTCAGACCCAACGTACGGTTAAAGTTAAAAATATTCAGAAAGGTTATGGCAACAGAACATTCCAACATCAAAGTTTTAACACTTTAGTGAGTCTGGTGAAGACGTCGGCCATGCATTTTGGACGTTTGCATTCAGTAACTGTTATTACATGTTAATTAACGTGTTATTCTGGGGTCTCCCAGCAGGGGGCGGGGTTAAAMGTGACGGCGGGGAGGTCGTCGTGCATTCTGGCTGTTCGGCGTCAGTTTGAAAGTAAAAGCCGAGGACACTCCGCTGACGGACCGGAAACGGCTGAAGCTGAAACTGGTTCAAGGCATTCGTGAGACAGTGTTCGTGCTGGCATGAGGACGAGGACGAGGCGGGGACAGGGGACAGAATTAAAAACAAAAATAGAACGGGGGACAGAGAGGAGGTGTTCGTGTAACAGGCTCGATGCGTCCCTCCTTCAGGGGACAAAGATGGACGCTTTTTTTTTTTTTAAAGACGGGAGACGGATGGACACAGAGGACTAAGACATTTGACAGAACTACAACCGGAGGAGACGAGCTGGACCAGAAGGTGAATCTAGGACAGGATGTTGGACATGAACTCGTAGAATCTTTTGGAGTACTGCTCCGGGTTCACTGTCGAGATCTCAGCCCCCGCCTGCAAACAAACAAACAAACAAACAAAAACTAATTTAATCAAAGCCAGAATTTAAAACTTGATCACATTTAAAATCAGAGAGGACATGTGGGGACAGAGAGGACATGTGGGGACAGAGAGGACACGCAGGGACAGGACACACGACTCAGCCCAGGGACCAGGTGTATATGCATCATTTACTGAGCGTCAGTCCACAGACCAGGACCAGGTTCAGGTTCAGACTTGGGATCAAGACACTGAAGTTTTAAGTTTTCTAAAATGCTGTAAACAAATTGTAAACTTTTGTTTAAAGTGTGTTTGTTCATCTACAAAAACAGCTGAAGTGTGTTTGTTTACTTAGAGAAACAGCTGCAGTAACTGAAAGTAGGTGAAGAACAGACATTTAAGATGGAGGTAGTGATTTGTTTTTATGTTCAGGTTTGTAAAATTTGTAGATAGAAGTAATTTGTTTACGTTGAGTGCGTACCTGCATTTTAAGAACTAATGAAAAAGGAGGAAGTCCTCCAGAGAGGGAAACAATTATCTGACGCTCATGAGCTGAGGATGATGATGATGATGATGATGGAGAAGGTGAAGCTCCCAGCTACATGGGAGGATCCTGAGGTCGAGACCAGAACCACTAAACTGGACTGGACCAGACCAGAGTCCACCAGCAGCCTCAGGGAGGGGTCTGTCTATCACCTGGTGTTTGGTGACAGCCTCAGGGAGGGCTCTGTCTATCGCCTGGTCAAAGACTGAGTCGTGTTTGGTGACAGCCTCAGGGTTCTGAGGGTTCTGTCTATCACCTGGTCAAAGACTGAGTCATGTTTGGTGACAGCCTCAGGGAGGGCTCTGTCTATCACCTGGTCAAAGACTGAGTCATGTTTGGTGACAGCCTCAGGGAGGGCTCTGTCTATGACCTGGTCAAAGACTGAGTCGTGTTTGGTGACAGCCTCAGGGAGGGCTCTGTCTATCACCTGGTCAAAGACTGAGTCGTGTTTGTTGACAGCCTCAGGGAGGGCTCTGTCTATCACCTGGTCAAAGACTGAATCATGTTTGGTACTGACCCCGTGTTTCACAGTTTTGGCAGCGTGTGCAGCTTTTTTCTTAGCATCGTAGTGCGTCAGGATGTCGATGATGGCCATGAAGTAAACCTCTTTCTTCGCAGCGCCTRGAATGAAAATAAAAATAAAGTTTTCTTTAGAGCCGAGCCGATGGAACCAGGGGTCAGATTTTGAAAATCCAAACACCGCCCACCGTCGTGGCTCTTGATTGCGTAAACGTCGACGGAGGGGTCGAACTCTCCGGGGCCGAAGAAGCCGCCGCAGTTCAGGGGGTTCCCAGGGCTGTCAGGGGGCGTGCCGAAGGAGCCCGTCAGCACTCCTCCCCCCATCCCGTCGCTCTCCAGGTCCTCCTCCTCCACGCCGCCCTCCACATCCATCTCCTCCTGCTCTGCCCGCTCCACGTCGTGGATGCCCACCAGGAGGCTGTAGTCCATGATCTTCAGGGTGGCCAGGAACTGCACCGGGTTTCAACACGAGTCAGACTGGGGTTTGGATCTGAGCTGAAACTCGTCTGGACGTTGGTCTTACCTCCACGTCCCGCTTTAGCTTCTCTAAAAAGTACTTCTTGTTGTCGTCTCCTATCTGCAGCTTGTGTCCTTCATTCAGGAAGTCGTTGTCTTTGAAAGTGGGAAGTTCTTTGGCCTGGAGGGGGAGAAGCTCAGTTTTACATCTGCTTTTAGAGCCGGATAAACATTTTAAAAACACTTCATCTTCCTCCTGGAGACAAACGTAAAATAAAACTCAGGAGCCGTGTCTGCTTTCGTCCAGCTCTAAACGGTTTAATTCAGCTGACGAGTTTATTCTGAGGTTATTTTGGTCTGTTGGCATCAGCCGAGAAAACAAACTCACCTTCTCCTTGTCGCTGGCTTCCCTGGAGACCGTAGAACCCTGAAAACACAGGAAGTAAAGTAAACCCAGCAGCMGGAGACGTGGTTTTTATAAACAAAGTGAGAGGCTTTTTTAATTACCTCCTACAGCTTTAAAGTGCCTGAGATGTCAAWTTTTTGTAATATAAACATAAATGCTTTTTTGGAAAGAGGACATCGATAAAATACTGCAAAATAAATGTCATGTCGCTGAGATGAACAGTTGAAGAGATATTTGCCTGTGAAGTAACAGGAAGTGATGTCATAGGGCAATGTCTGCATGTGAACAGAGCGTTGCTACAACAGCTAAAAACCCAGRTCTGATGTTTTACATTATTTTGAGTCTCTATCAGAGAGATGAAGAGTCAGAGTTCAAATAATATTGTTTCAATAAACAAAGAGCAGAGCTGAAGTGTGTTTGTTTAGCTACAGAAACAGCTGAAGTGTGTTTGTTTACTTATAGAAACAGCTGAAGTGTGTTTGTTTACTTAGAAAAACAGCTGAAGTGTGTTTGTTTACTTAGAGAAACAGCTGAAGTGTGTTTGTTTAGCTACAGAAACAGCTGAAGTGTGTTTGTTTAGCTACAGAAACAGTGACAATGTTAACAGAGCATTGCTACAATGGCTAACAACACAGACTAGAGTTCAAATAATATTGCTTCAGTAAACAAAAACCAGAGTTCCCTTTGATTCAAAAGAAAATATGCAGTTTTGTGATAAAACGGGTAAAATTGTGTGTAYTATACCAACTTTSTGAAATATAAAGATGTTTTCTTTGTCTTTTTGTATTTGAAGGACATGCTTGTCACCGGCACTTTAAACCCTGCAGCTAAAGGAAGGGTGGACATTAATCTGTGATCAGACCTGTTTGTTAAATGTTGTTGTTTGCTTTTTAAATGACCTTTTGATAAGTTGAGCAGAASCTCATTCATTACGACTCAAACAGGAAGTGGACTCTCGTACCTTCAGGTCGTACTTGCGGTGCACGGTGAGGCGGTGGCTGAAGACGTTCCGGGTCACCACCATGTAGGTCTCCACCCCGTCCACCGTTAGCCGGTACATGCCCAGGAACTGAGGCAGCAGCGTGTTGCCGTGACACTCCACGATAAACTGAGGAGGAGATAAAAGCTGATTCAAACTCAGCTCCACGGTTCAGTTTGATGAAACACAAGCTGTGAGTCCTGACAGTGAGGAGCTTCAGGTGCGTCTCTACCTGGTGATATTTCTTCAGGATGTTGTGCATCTCTGCGATGTCCTCGCTGGACACGGTTTTGATGACGAAGCGGTGGTCGTAGCTCGTCAGGAAGCGGTTCCCGAAGCGACCCTGGGAGTCGCTGTTGATGGGGGCGCTGCGAGTCAGGGAGTTCTGTCGGAACAAGAAAACAAAAATAAATAATTTACATGTTCAGGTGGTTTTTAAATTCAGGCTTCAGTGAAAGGTTCTRGACGTGAACCTGGTAGTCCTGGTCGTCGATGCAGAACCGCTCCCTCAGGTTCCTGAACACCATGGGACAGTACTCTTTGAACTTAAAGCGACTCGGGAGGTTTTCTCTGACGGGAAATAAATAAATAAACAAATAAACAACAGGTCCTCACAGTTTAAAAGGAACAAAAACAAAGTCTGCATGCTGGGTGTTGGATTTGTTTCTATTTGTGTCACACAGAACCAAGCAGAACAAAAGGTCCAGCTGACCTTTACAGAACACTAAACTTTGACACATTTCTCCTCTCAGCTCAACTTTGATCTTTATTTATTGATGTTTATAAAAGAGAGAAATTCAGGTTAAAGTGATCCACCTGAAAAACACCCACCAAAATAAAAGCATGATACAGCCTCAGTAATGAGGACGTTGCTCCGGTCGGTTCATTCAGACTTACTTGTTAAACAGGTGGTTGTCCACTTTTATCTTACTGTAGGCTTTAAAGTCATCTGGCATCAGCATAACTGGTACAGGCACGTTACTTAACTCGTTAACCTGGAGGAAAAACACACACAAATACACAAATTATTTCATGTTGTGTGTTTACTGACAAATAAATTTAAACTTTGAGAACACTGAGGACGACRCTCAGAGTCCAAATGTTTAAAATGATAAAAACAGAAAAAACAGTTCATGAGCTCATCCTGAGGTTTGTTCAGACGATAAGTCTGCTCATTTTATTTTTAATTTAACAGTTTATCAGAACTCAGGTGAGATGAAACATCCTGATGAAATCATGTGTTTGAAGGAGTGAGTCAG